CTATTATTAGTTATCTTGGGATAATATTGAAAATTTTTGGAGACTGGAAATAATCTAACTCGTATAATTTTTCTTAGGACGTCGGTTTCTTGTATTTCTTGCTTTGCCTTTTTGTTGTGTGCAAGTACTGAATAGTCAATAAAAGGAATGTAAATACTACGTACATGTAATTGAACTGAAAACCTACACACTATTTGCATTTGGTGGCAACCCAACCTACCCGAATTAGAAGTCGGGCAGGCAAATACAGGTCGGAGAGTTTCTATCAATACTACACCTTGGATTCATGAATTATCGACCCCTTCTCTTTGTCCGCCTATGTTATGATACGTTAATTTGTGACCCTTTGTGACCGTGGCCGTCAAAACATGGCATGAAGATTGTGTTTAAGAAGCTCCAAAATGATTGGGGAAGAGACAGAAAATTGGATCCGTACAAGTCCCTCAATTTAGAAATGTCTAAAGTCAGACTTGTGAGTTAAATTATAATGTTTGTGACCTAAACTAACTAATGCGTTGGACCATAGTAGGCCTGTCCTCGGATCAATCGTTTCGTATTAAGCGAACGGGTGGGGAATGCTCAACTCGAACCTCAACAGCTTGTTAATGGCTGAACAATTGACAAAAAACAAACTTGGAAGCAAAACAAAGTAATTAGATGAATACATGATGGGGGTCTAGTGCAAGAATTAGTTGATACACCTTGAGCATGTCCAATGCAAGGAAATTTGAAATTTTGTCTAAGGGGAGAAAATTTTGAAAATAATTTATAATTTAAAAGAATGAATAAAGCTATACTTAGCACTCATTCATTAAAAGTAAATAAATTTTTGTTTTTAAAAAACGATATTATTTACACTAAGGGGTGGAGAATTTAAAAGTAAATAATTGAATCAACAAGGATCAAACCATGTCAAGTGACTCAACATCCTCTTCCATCCCTCTAGACTCTAACCTCCAAACTTTTTTATTTAATTTTAAAAAATGATCCACTTTTTCAGGGACTGAGAAGACTTACAAAGACATTTCAGCCTCCCGTTGGCCACTATCATGTGATTCACCAAGACATGCTGTGTGAAATAGAGGTTTGAAATTCGTCTTTAACCACTAAGTCATCACATCGTGGTTGACTCTACCCTCCAACTTGGCTTTCACACAACCTAAAAAATAACAAGACAGTTTGGGGACATAACACTTGATTTAACTTCATTTTTTACCTAATACAACAATATATACACCACGGGCTTGAGAATTCATGTTAGGCCTTATGGCAGCAGGTCATCCATAATAAATTGATATCGAACACTTCTTTCACATAATCGAATTTAGGACCTCGTAATTTTAAGTGAGGAGGAATTTACTAGACCGTAGGGGATGACAATTCAATCCATTAAACCTAATAACTGTGAATAACCGTCCGAATGAGACGAATTTGGGTGTGAAATTCGGTTATTTTTCAGTTACTGGGAAAAACCATGAATATTGATTCGGTTATGGTTTTAGATCTGGTTATAGGAGTTTCCGATCATTATCTGTCCCCGAAGCCTCTCCAAATAATATATATATAATATAACGTATATGTATATTCACAAATATTGGAATTATTTGATAATTTGTGTAGTCTTTCTCCCATAGTAATTGTTTTATTTGCATCTCCTTCCTTTTTTCATGGGACCAATTTGCCTTAACGTGCTATCATATTTGGCTTATCAAGAGCACTTAAATTATAATGCGCAAACAAATAATATTTTTTCATGGATAATCCCCGATGGTTAATTTGCGGCTACGGATATGGTTAATTTTCATGGTTATGGGGATGAATAAGTTGTTTCTGTCCCCAAACCGAACAGTTGCCATCTTTAACTAGACCTGGCATTCGTGTCATATTTTTCATGTTCGTGTCATATTTTTCATGTTCGTGTCGTTTTTGTGACATGCTCGATATCTTATTGGGTCGTGTCATGCAACACCAGTTAAAGTAAACGAGCAATATGATCCGACCCAAAATTGACCCGTTAATATTATTAGGTAATAAGACCCGACTCATTACCTGTTAAAAAAAATTATATTTTAAATCAATAAATAATGAAAATGAAAAACATAATTTGACCCCAAAAAATTGAAAACATAATACTAAATTAGTACATGCACACCGCATTGTAACATCCCACATCGCCCACTGGAGTGGATCCTGTAAGCCTTATATATATTCTCATCTCTACCTAGCGCGAGACCTTTTGGGAGCTCATTGACTTCGGGTTCCTTAGGAACTCCGAAGTTAAGTGAGTAGCGCGCGAGAGTAATCCCATGATGGGTGACTCACTGGAAAGTTCTTGTGTGAGTTCCTAGAAACAAAACAGTGAGGGCGTACTCGGGGTCCAAAGCAGACACTATCGTACTACGGTGAAATCGAGGCCAGGATGTGGTGGGGGCTTGAGCTTGAATGTGACAATTTGGTATCAGAGCCAATCCTTGGCCGGAAGTGTTCCGACGAGGACGTTGGGTCCCTAAGTGGGGTGGATTGTAACATCGCACATCGCCCAGGGGAGTAGATCCCATAAGCATTATATGTATATTCTCATCTCTACCTAGCACGATACCTTTTGGGAGCTCATTGACTTAGGGTTCCGTAGGAACTCCGAAGTTAAGCGAGTAACGCACCAGGACAATCCCATGATGGGTGATCCACTGGGAAGTTCTCGTGTGAGTTCTCTGAAACAAAACCATGAGGGTGTGGTCGAGGTCCAAAGCAGACAATATTGTGCTACGGTGGAGTCGAGCCCCGGATGTGGTGGGGGCCAGGGCCGGGATGTGACAGCATCGTCACATAAATATTACTTTGAAGCATAAAAAAAAAGTTTGTCTTTTAAGTATTACATACTCCAAAATAAGAGCCTAATGAAAAAACATTAGTACATTACTATAAAATACCAAATGTTCTTGGATATGGAAAATGAAGGGAGTTGCATTTCAAAGTTGGGAAATCTTGTACGTTTATAAATGCTTTCACATTTTTCAGACTTGTACGTTAATGATTATGAATTTTATTTATTTTGAACGCTCTTAAAAATACTATTTATGAGGGTTTGTATGGTTTTAAAATTTTAAACGATGATGTACCCATACTCAAAGCGTAGCAAAAGCGATCACGAGCCTTTACATATTTTTTTTCACATTTTTCGCACTTGTAAATTAATTATTATAATTTTTTAATGTGTTTGGTTTTTTAAAATTACTTGATATTTTTAATTTTAATGTGTTTTATAATTTTTTAATGTCACATCCCGCCCCAGGCCCCCACCACATTCTGGGCTCGACTCCACCGTAGCACGATATTGTCTGTTTTGGGTCCCAGTACACCCTCACGGTTTTGTTTCTGGGAACCTACACGAGAACTTTTCAGTGGGTCACCTATCCTGGGATTGCTCTCACGCGAACTCGCTTAACTTCGGAGTTCCTACGGAACTCGAAGTCAGTGAGCTCCCAAAAGGTCTCGTGATAGGTAGAGATGATAATATACATATAAGGTTTACAGAATCCACTTTCCTGGGCGATGTGGGATGTTACATTTAATCTCACTCTTTTGCCTATAGTATATACTATTAAAATAAATAAATAAATAAATAATATATTTTTTAAATTTATATAGAATAATAATATAATAATACATTTTTAATATACAATATATACATATACACTATGGCTATTGTATTTTATAGTAAGTTTTTTTTAGTAGTTTAAAAATTAAAATCATCAAAATAACATTTTTCTTATCGTGTAGAAATAGATTACCCGCTGTAGGTCTATCCCTAACTAAGTGGCAACCAATCTTAACCTTTTGTTTTGTTTTGTTGATACAACAATATTATTCACACTAAGGGTTGAGAGGAATACATTGGTATCAAACTTGTTATTTATTAGATTCAAACCTAAGACATTTTACTCACAAGTGAGGAAAAATATCACTAGACCGTGATATTAAGTGGTAAACAGGTTCAATTGCTATCAACCCAAGCCAATAAGCCCCAAAACAAATCCACATTTTAATTATAAGTTAAACCATTACTTAGTACTGCAATAAAGTGGTATTTCTTTCACTTGTAAGTGAGAGGTTCCAAGTCAAATCTCGTAAATAGCGAGTTCAATACTAAATCATTTCACCCTACCATAATATAAATATACAGTTGTATTAAAAAATATAAAAAGGTTTCAACCAAAAAGGCCAGGTCCGTAACACAAAAGTTTTGGGCAACCTTAGAGCAAGTCTAACCCTTCTTTGGAGGCTGGCCCAAAGTCTAAAAAAATAGGCTAGCACCTAAAAACAACCACTCCACCCCACAAATAGACTGACCTAGAATGGGCTGAGTGAGGAATTGGCCTATCTGACGTCATACTGATGTCAGCCACAACTGATTCTTTTTTTGCGGTTGGTATGTGGAAAACACATGCTCGTAGGCGCGCGTTCCAGACTTAAAAAAAAAATGTTAGAATCTCACCGTGGGTCATGTGTCCACTTTTAGGTCGTAGGATTTCAACCTTTTTGAAATCCAACAGTCCAGATTAATTAACTTAATAAAAAATGTTTAAAAATACAGAAAAAAAATTAAATGATTTTATATATATATAAATACCTAACCATCTTCTATAAAAATTGTACTTTCAAAAAATAACACGTGACGTGATAAGATTGGTTAATTGGTTAAAAATTCTATTCGAAATTAAAAATAATTTTTTATTTATTATTTTATAAAAAAAATTAATAATATTTTAATACGAATTGAGTAAATTTTGGGCCAGCTGATTTTTTAGGAAGGAAGATACACTTAGACAATTACTGTTTAATCAAGTTAATTACTATTTATTTAGGTGGATTAAATGAACTTTGGGCCAACTCATTTTTGAGGGTGGACTTACTCTTACGTAAATAATACTGGAAAGCCCAAAGAAACTCATAAGTCGACGGCTCCCGAGCCCACAAACGTCTCTGAATATCTCTCTCTCTCTCTCTCTCTTTACAGCTTCGTCCTCGCTCGCAGCACAGCTAGATCGTAAGTGCTCTCACGCTCTGCTTCTCTCCTTTACGTGAGTCCAGGTTCAGCTCTCGTTTTCTCCGTTACTAGTATTATTATTTTTATTATAATTTTTTTTCTGAATTTTTTGATCTCTCTGATTGTTGTTACGATTGGAATGGGGAATTTAATTTTTTTTATTTATTTTTATTGTTTGGGTTTTCTTCGTTTTGGTTGATTCTCCGGTTTCTGGGTTGGATATACGGCGGGGTTTTTTCGCCATTGCTGCACATCAGCCTCCCTTTGTTAGTGGAGGTTGGGTGGCTGTTCTTCCCAAGAGGGATTGAAGCTTTGGGCTTAGGGTTTTTAGGGTTTAGGGTTAGGAGCCATTGAAGGAGGGTTTAGGATTTTTTATTTTATTTTCGTGCCGATTGTGATTACAAGTAAAATATTGGGAAATGGAGAGGGATAATGGTAGTTTTTTTTACTAGGAGATTCAATTTATTGGGTTCTGTGGGCATATGAAAATACCCTCTTTGTAATTTTACAAACGATGAATTTGTTATTGTATGAAGCAGTGAAAAGATGAATGGGTAGAAAACATATTCAAGAGAACAAAAGTGAAATTTTTTCATTCAACTCCATAAAAGTTTCGTTTTTATTTTATTTTAAATTTGATAGCAAACTCAAACCAGACTTTATGGATATTAAACATATTGTTCCATGATAAGATTACGGTTGTGTTTCTGGTTGTGGCTTATTTGGACTTGTGCTCATTTTGTATTTTGTTGATATAGTATAAAGATAGAGGCTTTCATGCTCAGCATTCAGTAGTGAGATCGAGTTAGCTGTCTCAGCAATTCAGATTATTTTGGTTACCGTATAAACAATCAGTTTTTTGCCTATACTTTTGGTTCAAAGTTAATACTGCAAGTTTTTTTTTAATAAAATAAAATGATTTGTGTATACATTCATTCTTCCCTAGTTGTTGGTCTGGGCTGCAGCAGTTTGTCTATATCTGGTTCTTGTTACTGCTAGTATCTGATTTTTTTTCTCTTGATATGTTGGTTTGTACAGACCATTACTTTATGCATGTTTATTCACTACTAACATATGTACTCAAAATATACTTGCTTCCCCTGCTATGGTATAGAGAGTACTTTAATCTCTTGACGTGCTTATACTATATACAACTATCTCATTGTACAATTCCATAAGTAGCTGCCAGTGGTTAGTCAAACTGTATATCATTTGTGCTCTAATATTTTATCACATTCAAATTTCAGAGTCTCAGGAATAGTTGTGTAAACATTGTCCTTGTTTTGTATTCAGTAAGTTGCGCCCCACGAAAAAGAAAGAGCTAATCCTCAGTCCGTGAGAGACAGAAGGAAACACTACCATGAATGCTCCAGACCGATACGAACGATTTGTCGTCCCTGAGGGGACAAAAAAGTAATCATAATCTCTCTGGAAAAAATTTCAGCTCCTTTTTGAAGTATAAAGTCTGAATCCTTATTTTTTTTTTCTCTTTGCAGGGTGTCATACGAGAGGGACACGAAGATCATCAATGCAGCATCGTTTACAATTGAGAGAGAGGACCACACGATCGGCAACATCCTCCGCATGTATGCAGCCCTTTTCCTTTAGTTCAAGTTTTTATTGATTTTTTAACTTTTTCTCATTCTTAGATAACTTATATAAACTTGACAAAATACTATTTAATAATTTCCTTATGAAAATTGTGGCATTCAGGCAGCTACACAGGGACGAGAATGTTTTGTTTGCCGGCTACAAGCTTCCTCACCCCCTTCAGTACAAAATTATTGTCAGGGTCAGTTTTCCCAATTTAATTCTCTATGATTACTTATCCTCTGCAACAAAAAAGAGGAAGGAAAAAAATGCTAATCATGAAAAGAGAAGTAGAAGTGCTCATATAATGTTGTGGTTGTGACCTGAACCTGTAAATGGTGTTTTTGTAGATTCACACAAGCAGCCAGTCTTCACCAATGCAAGCATACAACCAGGCTATTAACGATCTTGACAAGGAACTTGACCATTTGAAGAGTGGTTTTGAGGTAATGCTTTTTGATGCTTCTCCTTCTTAACGCTTGCTTTGGTAAAACTCTTACTGAGTGTTGGTCCAACGAAATAAAGGCGTTGGGAATGCTTTTGAGATACGAAATTTACCTCAACCCTATTTCTAGCATTTTTTGAGATTTTTAATATTGTGCTACCGTGGAGCCCTCTTCTGTTAAAAATGGAGTGAACTTCAGTTTCATGGTAGTTCAATCCTAAAGATTCATGGTGTCAAATGAATCTACTGTTATATTTCTATCATCATAGGTCTAGCGGATAATGATTGATATCAAGCATCTGAGAGTATAAGATTATGAAATTGATATTATGTTCGACACAAGTTCAAAAATATTTTAGAACAAACTGGGGCATAAATGTTCAACACAAGTTCTAAAATATTCATGTGAAAGGTTATGCCTCATTTTATAAGGCTGTTAAGTACTATGAATGTGTCATGAATTTTGTACTTAGGTGTACAGTGAGTGCATTTACATTTCTAAATCCCGTATGCAGGCTGAAGTTGCAAAGCGTTCGGTGGAGTACTAGTAGGCATCATTCCGGATCTGTAAGGAACATGTCAGATACTGACATCCGACTGTTGTCTTCTTTAATTATGGATCAAAGTACCTTGTGTGGATTTTTTATGTTTCGCTGTATCATGAATGTTTATGGATAGTTATGAAATGAGACCAGGCTGAAGGGGCCAGCAGTTTCTTGAAAATATGGTGTGCATTGCTTCTTAGCATTAGTCTTATATTGCACGTAGTTAGCTTTCAGGTCATGCTGTAAATTCACACCTCCTTGTGCGTGGTCGTCTGCATCTGTAATTTCATAAGTTTTGAGAATTACGACGCACACCGCGTATATTGCACGCTGTAAAAGGTCGGCATGTTTTATAACCCTTTTGCTGCTGCTCATGTGTGCAACCTGCAAAAGGTAACTCTGAAATTTAGTTATGAATTCACCATTTGGGGTTGTTCCCCTCTTGTTCACATATCATTAGAGAGGAAAATTGAGGGTTGAAATAGATGAACGTACTTGACTAAATGTGTACTGTTATGAAACCTGCTGCCTGATTTACACGAACGATACTCGGTGATAAAAATGTGTGAGAGTGCTGAAAATTTAGGATTTGTGTCAATTGTTAAAGTTGTGAGTTTATTGGGCCCTTGTCATACCTAATCAAGAAATTTGTAGACTATAATCTTGATTTGTGATGGATAAACATTTACGTTGAAGGGAATGAAATCTTATATATATATTTTAGAGGAAATTGTAGCAATGGTCACTCAATTCTAATTCAACTAGAGTAATGGTCTCTCAACTAAAAATTTGTGACCATTGGTCCCTTAACAAATCAAAACGTGCGTCTATAGTCGTTTTTTAGTCAACTTCGTCAGAACTTCCATCAAAATAAGTTGCGTGCCATGTATGTGAGGCTAAATCAAGGGAAAAATATGGAAAACAAAATGAGAAAAATTGTAGCAATAATCCTTCTACTTTAACCCAATTGGAGACATGATTCCTTAACTTTAACCCAATTGGAGCAATGGTCCGTCAACTTTAACTCATTTGTGGCAATGGTCCTTGCAACATGACTCATTTTGACGAAATTCTGACCGAGTTGATGAATAGAACTATAGCTGCACATTTTGATGAGTTAAGAGACTAATGGTCATGAATTTTTAGCTGAGGGACCTTGCTCCAATTGGGTTAAAGGATCATTTCTACAATTTTGTCTATATCTTAATCTTAATTCATTACTTCACTTACCATTCAGTATTACGGTCTGGTGATATTCCTCTTTACTTGGAAGTGAGAGGTATTAGGTTCGAATCTCGTGGATGACGAATTCAATACCAAATTAGGCTGTTCATTGTGTGGCTTAGCCGAACTCCTCATTTCCTCTTCTTCTAACCCTGAGGAGGCAGGGTTGATGTGCGGACACAATGTAACATCAACAGAACCTTGTAAAATTACTATCAAATTATGCACTTTTGTTTAATGGTTTGTGGCACTAGGTGATATGCACTTTTTTTAATGGTTCATAGCCCTGAGTACTACTGAAATCGAATGCATGAAATTAAAAATAAAAAATCAAACAATCATAGAAATCAAATATAACAGCTAAAACAAAACTAAAACGTTGAAGCCGGACCCCAAGGTATGCAGTTAGTGCTACTTAACATTGAAGCCGGACCCCAAGTTATGTATAAGGAGAGTAAAATGTATAGGTTCTAGTTTGGTGTTTGTTCTGCCATTGCATTTTAAAATGAAAAGAAGCTAAAATGTTGTCTGTAAAATAAGAGGCAGGATTAGAAGAAGAAGAGCCCTAAACAATTCGGACGATGCCTCATTGGCTTGACCAAAAAACAAAACTTAATTTGGTACCGGTCCCTTGGGGAACGGGGAACCTCACCCTGCATGTGTTTGCAATGTATAGTTTTGAACTTCATTGCTGCTCAAGATATATTCTTTTTATATCTAATTTCATTTGAAAATATTATCTTTAGCCTGTAGTTTACTGCATTACCCTGTTTTCACAGAAGAAAGATTAATATTTTAAAATAGAAGTCAGATTGATTTGTGCGCATATTATTTTGATAACAACTTTACAATACATTGTTGCAGATTTAGACGTAACCAAGTTGGTTAAAACCGACGTACTATTAATATTTTTGAGTGTGAATTTCCTTCCCTCTAATTTAGATTGGATATCAAAACAACGAGATTTTCTAATATAGAATATATTATACACCGAAATCTTTAACCTTTGCATCTCTATTTATTAGTTCTTTAGCCGCACGTCCGCTCTTTCGGTGTATGGTATACACCAAAATATAGAACTTAACAATGCATTAGTATCGTTTTTCCCATTGATTGTATCTTAAATATTATAAAGTGAGGGAACTTTCTATTTTTCTGTACATTGACCTTCTAAATGTTAAACAAAAACCATAGTGACTATTTTAATTGAACACAGAATCCTATATGGACACAGACAAATGCATCTTTCGAAATTTCACCTTTTCATTGCAGCATCTCTTTGCATTAATTTTAATGACCTTGGTTTTTGCAGTATTTTTGTTAGCTTCTAATTAAACAATGTGTGATTAGAAGCAGAACCCAATGCTTTAAATTTTAAGAGAAATGTAAGCATGTCTGTTAGTTTCTTTGGACATGGATAATTTGGCTTGCTCGAGATTATAAATGTTTTTTTTCTTTCTAAATTTTACAATTTGCAACCCCATCGATATGTGAAATCCAAGCATCTTTGTGACTTCTAATTTGTTTGCTTGTAAAGACAATGATTAAATTATAGATGTTAATTAACTTAATTTTTAGGTAATCACAAATTAGAGAAACTTCCTTAATTACATTACAAGACTAAACTGCATTTATATCATATAGCATTATAGTACAACACACAGTTGACCATTTCGCCTAAGAAATAAAATTGGATCCAAATATGCATTTGCAAGGTAGATGAGTAATTTGTTTGGATGTTCAGGAGGACTATACTTGCATTAACGGTCCACATTTGTTAATTATCCGAGTCGTTCGGTACTGTATTATGCGCAAGTTTCGTTATAAGGCTTATATTACCAATAACAGTTAGGGTAAATTACACAAAAATACCTCAATTATTGGTCTCACAACACTATCATACCTCATCTTTTAAAATTGACAATGTCATACCTCATCTTTAGAATTTGGTCCAATGTTATACCTTCTGCTAGCTTGGCTGTGAATTTCTCAGTTAAATGCTAACGTGGCTTGATCTGAGACCCACTGTCTATTAAAAAATTAATAAAAAAAAAAAAAAAAAAAAAAAACCCAAACCCCTAGCTTCCTCGACCCCTTCCCCTTCCCCTTCCTTGCAACCTAAATCCAAAACCCAGATCCCTTCCCCTTCCCTGCAACCCCCGACCCTTTCCCTACCCACGCCAACATCACCCCCCAGACCCACCTCCTCCTTCTCTGCCGCCCACCCCTCTCCCCGAAATGGACCGACCCAGATTCGTAATCGAAGCCTCTGAGGCCGAATCAATGGCCAACCAGTCTAACCTCACCGTCTTCCAGCTTCTCCCCTCCTTCATCAAGTCCGCCCAGGCCCTTGCACGCCCTCCGCCTACTCCCCTCCTTCCCTGGAAATCGGATCGAAAGTGGACAGATAAAAGGTTAGTTTGCCGGCTGTTTTGTCCAAGGTGTTTGATTTTGGTTTGGATTCAAAGATGTTGTTTTCTTGTGGGGTTTGGATAAGGTCAAAACTTAGACGGAAGGATTTGGAGGTGTGGCGGTGGAGGCATTGGGTTTCCAGAACTTGACGAAAGAGGGGAAGAGATGGAGGACGGTGAGGTTGCAAGGAAGGGCGGGGAGAGGTAGGTTTGGGGGGGAGATGATGGCGTGGGTGGGGAAGGGGTTGGGGGTTGTAGGGAAGTGGAAGGGGTCGGGGAAGATGGGTGTTTGGGTTTTTGTTTTTGTTTTTTTATTTTATTTTTAAGGGTAAATTATTATTTTTTAATATTTTAGGGTAAATTACACTTTACCACCTCACGTTTGAGGTTTATTATAACCTCATACAACATTTTCAAAACATTTCACTTTCATACCTCACGTATTATTTTATTTCAATATAATACATTCGTTACATTTTCCATCCATTAATCTGTTAAGAGCTGACGTGGCGGCCACATTTATGCCACGTGGCTGCCAAAATTGTGCCATGTGGCAAATTTTTTTTTTTTATTCATTTAAAATATTATAATAATTTACCCTTAAAACACACACACACACACACACACACACACACACACACAAACTAAAACCCACCTCCCCGCAACCCCCCAAATCAAATCAAAGTAATTGAACAACAATCAACAATTACCAGAAATCCCAGAAGGCATCTTGACCATGGAGACAGTCATCAACCCACTCGCGGGGACGCTACTCACCTTCACGGTAGTCTTCAAATTCGAACCCTCCACTAGGAAACGAAGAAGACGTTGTCAAACCCCTAGCTGCTCTTACTATTCTGAATGTTCGACTCGGTGACATGACGACGTCGTTAAGGAACTCACCATTCCCTATCTTAATTCCATACGACAACGATGCAATAGGAGGAAAGGCGGGGAAGAGCTCAGAAGAGTTGTTGTAACTCTCAACGAGCACAGACTCTCGGTGGGTCGGTGAGGCGGGAATTGCAGAAAAAAGAACCAGACAGCTGGTATCGGAAGAGTGACGTGACGGGGGGATCATTACCAGAGAAAGGGAGTTATTGGAGGATGAGTTGGAGACAGTAGGCGATAGGGTCGAGCAAGGCGAATAACCTGACTTGTCAGACCTTAGGGTCGTTGACTGTGTGACGAGGTCGGTGAGGGTCCATTTGGGAATTTGTGGGTGTGGAGTGAGGGTTTTGGGGGGGGGGGGGGTGGGAAGAGTGGGTTTTGGGGTGCGGAGAGAAAAGTTGGGGGGTTTTGGATTGTTGGATTTGATCGGCGAGGGGATGGAGAAGATGGGAAGCAGCATAGAAATGCAAAGTGCATGAAAAAGAAGTGGGGTGTGTTTTTGGATGGGAGGGGGTGAAAAGAGTGGAGGAGAGGGAAGGTTTCTGGGTTTGTTTGTGGGGAGGTGGGTTTCAGTTTGTGTTTTTTTTTTTTAGGGTAAATCATTATAATTTTTTAAATGAAAAAAAAATTATTTTTGTGCCACGTGGAATAAATTTGGTAGCCACGTGGCACAAAT